TCAGCGGATTGACGTACCTAGCATACGAGAGCGGTGGTTGGTACGCAGCGCGTACGCTTCACTCCACCTTCATGAAAGCTGTGATGAGCGTCCCACTCTCCTGGTTCAAGTCGACACCGGTCGGTCGTATCGTGAACCGGTTTTCACGCGATATGAATTCGATTGATAACTCGCTTGCCGGAACGGTTCGTGTGTCGCTAGAAGCGCTTATTCGCTTGGGCTTCCAGATCGTTGCCATAGGATCTGTCCTCCCTGTTTTCATGGTGCCGGCGGCTGCCTGCTGCTCTGTCGGCATTGTTGCGGGTGAGCTCTACACGAGGACTGCTGTGGCGGTAAAGCGACTTGTAGCCTCCTCGCAGTCACCAGTATTTGCCCACTTTGCAGACAGTCTCGCTGGTTTGCCCGTCATCCGCGCCCGCGCTGGGATGTCGAGTATCTTCCGTGACCAGCTTGCTGACAAAATGCGAGTCCTCGAAAGAGCCATGGAGGCCCAATTCAACTGCAATCGCTGGGTGGCCCTCAAGGTGGATATGATGACAACCATAGTCACCGTTTGCGCAGGAGCAATTGCCGTTTCAAAAGCAGGGACCGTCGCAGCTGGGATCGTTGGATTTTCTTTAACTAATTCCACCACTCTCAGTCAATTGATTATCCTACTCGTCCGGTCGATGAACGAGCTGGAGGTTGAGCTACAAAGCTTCCATCGGGTTCGTGAGTATGCCTCAATTGAGGCAGAGGAAAAGTCCGATGAGTACCAAGAGCTCGGGGCTTATGCCGATGATCCGGACGCCTCTCGTATCATGTCCAAGGACTGGCCGAGATCTGGCGAGGTCGAGTTTAGGAATGTTACTATCAAGTACGACCTGGATGGCCCAGAAATTCTCAAGAACATCAACCTCAAGTTCAGGGCTGGCGAGAGGGTTGCTGTCGTTGGACGTACCGGCTCCGGGAAGAGCACCCTGGTGCTCTCTCTACTCCGCTTCACCAACATCGTCGAGGGCCAGATCCTCTTCGATGGTGTTGATATCACGGCCTTCCCGCGTAGGAAGCTCCGCGAAGCACTGACCATTATCCCGCAAGAGGCTGTACTCTTCAACGGCGACGTTGGGTCCAACCTCGACCCCACGAATGAGATACCAAAGGAAACTATCCAGAAAGCGCTCGAGTACTGCAGCGGTATTGCATCCTTCCAATTCCACCAAGACGAAGACGGGGTGCAGAACGGGCACACGCAGACAAATGGCCATGGTAACGGCATCACCGGAACTCCTACAGGCATCAATTTATCGACCACCGTGAAAGCCAAAGGCGAAAACTTCTCTCATGGTCAGCGGCAGGTGCTTTCCCTTTGTCGGGCTCTGGTGCGCAAGAGTAAACTCATGTTGCTTGATGAAGCGACAGCGAGCATGGACTACGAAACGGACCAGGGGATCCAGGAGGTGTTGAGGAAGGAGCTGAATGAACACGGGAGAGATAGGACGCTGGTCACTATTGCGCATCGGCTGAAGACTATTATCGACTATGACCGCGTGGTGGTGATGAGTGCCGGTTCGGTCCTAGAGTGAGTTTAGTGGCCATTTCGTGTGATCGAGTTGTACTAATGCGGTCATAGGGTTGGAAGTCCTAAAGAGCTCTACGAAGCCAAGGGTCAGTTCTACGATATGATGAAGCACAGTGGAGAGTTTGAGGACTTGGAGAGGATCCTAGATGCGAAATCTTGAAGAGACGATGTTCAATATGGAGTGGAAGATTGGAAATAGAATATGTTTGTTCGAGACTGGGGAGCAAACGTCATGTCTTGCGCTTGTTCAAAGAGATCAGTCATTGCGCGAGAGCTTTAGATTATGACAGCGGTCGTTTCCTCTTAACATCGTCAGACAATAAATGCCATGAGTAATGGTACAAATCCTCATCTGGTTTTCTACTCGAGTGGCAGCTCAGCAAACGAGTGAGCGAAATGCCCTGAATCGGGACTATATCTCCCGATTGACATCCCGAAGTCTACAAGCATACCTAACCCGCAACCGAGGTTGACGTAGCTATGAGGCATCTACAGGCCTGTGAGAACACTTAAACGATAAAATCCTGTGAATGCACCGAGGCAATGCTTTATGATGGTATCGCAAAATAGAACATCACGACGACACCAACTGCCCCTCACAACTTAATCGTGCCCTATTTAAGTAGAATGGTCCTAAGGTCCTGCGGCTACAGAGTGATGCTCTTGCCCCCCACGTTTTTCGATGCTGCCGTCGTTCCTCGGGGTTTCATTCTCTTGCGGCCTTGATCCTCGTATAAAGAAAGTATACACGTTCGTCGTAGGGTCCCTATCGTCATTCGTAAACCAGGTACTCGGTAATGAGATACTTGAGAATTTTACCCAAATATATGGAGACATTTCCATTTAAAATATGGCAGATTCACCATCCGCTTCGAAGGTGTACCCGAGAGCCCTTTCGCATTTAAACCAACAAGCTGGTCACGGCACAAGCGCGAGACGAAGCATTCTGCGCTATCTGCGAAAGACTCATCTGAGCAACAAGCAGTATCTCTGCCCGGCTCTCACCCGTGATACGACCGACGAATACGTTGACTGCCAGCTGGAACTTGAGACTGTTGTCTTCCGATGGGCGAGAGTGTCCCTTTGTTGGCCTACACGGTGGTTCCAAAGGAGCACCCCAGGCAAGCAGATACGAACCATCTATCGCTTCCCGGTCGAGACAAAGGCGTTGTTCCATTGTTCCTACACTACAGAAACTCCCAATTCTGCCACAACAAAGGCCTTGTTTGGCTGCTGACCCCGGCCAAGAAGCACTTTAGCCCTTCTGTACGGAACAATGCCTATGACCAGGGAAACTCACATTCAGAATGCGCATCCAAGATAAAACAATTGCTGCAGGAGATGCAGTAGATGCAGAATATCGCAGCCATAGAGCCTAGTCTATATAAATTGTCGTTCCTCCGTGGCGTCTCTTTCTATGAGTGCATCCAAACAAACAGACAGTCTCATTGAATCGTACCGTGTACAGAATCGATCCATAGCAAACAATATTTCCAGTCGCAAGCTCGTCCTCGAGAAGAACGAGAAGGAAAAAGCATTGTGAGTCTCTCCTATCCACAGTAAAGTACAATACCCCATTTTACAATGGCTTATCCAGCACCGGGCACCCGGCCTCACTTCCGGGCATGGAAACAGGCTCGAGAGAAAAAGCATACGGTGAGGGGAGATCCCGCACCCATCCAGATTGATGAGTATATACTAGATGTTGACGATTGGGCCCGTCGTCACGCTGCCCTCTCCGCAGCCGGAGCTCGTAAGGGGGCCAAGGGATCCAAGGGCACCAAAGGTGTCAAGTCGGGCAAAGTATCCAAGGATGCCGCCAAAGGAGCCAAGGGAGTCAAGTCAAAGTAACCAAAGCGACCGCCAAGGGAGTCAGAAAGTCCGGCAAAGGAGCAAAGGGAGCTAAAGGGAAGAAAGGGGCAAAGAGTGCCAAAGGTGGCAAAGGCGCTAAAGGCACCCACGGCCGTGATGCGCTCGATCGTCTGTCTCCGCCGACAGATCCCGATAGTGTCCTCGGTAGGGGCGCGGACGCCCGGGTTGTCGGATTGCTCGATGAGATGGCCTGTGTCCAATGTCTCGGCAGCCTGGGAGACGGCAGTTGCCCCGGTGCGGCCTGTCGTGCGGGATTCCTCCGCGAAGTCGTCCGCCCGACCACGCGGCTCGTCGAGATCCGCTACAACGGCGACATGGGATACGGGGTTTTCGTGCAGCCAAACAAGACTATTAACAAAAATACCCTTCTAGACGTCTACCTGGGCGAGGTGGTGCCCCCGTGTACGGAGAGGCTGAGCGCGTACCAGTTCGCCATCACGTTGTCCAGGTCCGGTCTTATTGCCAATGTCGATGCTAAGGCATACGGTAACTGGACTCGGTTCGTGAACAGTCACTGTGAGCCTAATGTTGACGCGACGATTGAAGCGCTCGGCGGCCAGCTCGTCGTCGCCTTTATCGCCAATCAAGATATACCGGCAGGAGAACAGCTGTTCATCAACTACGGCCGCTCTTATTTCGAGGCGCAGGATATCAACTGCATCTGCGACGGCCAAGACAAGCCTCATCTTCCCCCTAACTGAGGTAGGAGCGGTAAGTATTGTAGATAATAGCTAAAGCAGGTGGGTCATTTGAAGTGATTGTTTCTGTGGTAGATGTTGTTTCAAAGGTAGACTGAGCTTATCTGCACAAGCTGTTCCGGCGTGTTTATCAGTAGTCGACTGGTAGTTATCACCTCTTTTCCCCCTCCCTATTTACTGCAAACTCATCAATTGCTCCCTCCCTCTCTCTCGGTTCTCCGGAAATGTTGAGTCGAACAAAAGCCTAGTTTGTGACTGTCATCTGAAAATGAAAGCTCCGAACTCGTTTTATTACTTCGGCATTCTGGTTTTGGAAGCTCTCCTCACCCATGCCTACCCGGATATAATCGGTGACGGCCACACGTGGCGCCACGGAATGGGTTTCGACTGGAAAGCCATCCGGACATGTTCCTTCTTGGTAATCATCGCACCAACTTGCTCCGAGCATCGACACCCAAGCTTTACAGCACGGAGTAACAACATCATGCCTTGGCGGTCAGGCGACCAGCCTTGTGAGCATGACATGCTTTCATCTTCAAATACCCAGCTTCCAGCAGCATTTAAGCTGGGTCCCGAATTGTGACGAAAACCAAGCCAGGTTGAAAAACATCGGTCCAGTCCAGCTCATACGTACAGCCTTGTGCATATGATGCGTTCGTTCCTTTCCGTACTCAGGACTAAAGGATGACCCAAGTAAAGTAAACACGCTTGACAGGAGAGGTAGGTAATGTTTGGTGCATGGTTGGCTTGAAGTACCCGCAACCCTGATCTTACCCCACTTTAGCGGCTCGTAGCGGCATAGCTAATATAGGGAGTGATAGATGCGGCAACGTTCACCGAACATCGCCTAAGATATGTCACACCTCCTCGGTCTGGTGGTCTAGTGGTATGATTCTCGCTTAGGGCTCACCCTATTCTGATTGCGAGAGGTCCCGGGTTCAATCCCCGGCCAGACCCTTTGGATCTCAATCCTCATCTTTTTTTCCCCTCTTTCCTTTTTTCTGATATTTAATTTTACCCCGAAAACCTCCTATCTGTTGCTTGTTATGCATTTGACGTATTCGCAACGCGAAGTCTCTAAGCGTCGTGCTACCGGTGTACTCGACCATGTAAGGAATTTACCAGCCATGAATTTGGTTTATATGTACGGAGCCAATAAGATTCTGAATAGGAAGTGACAGGCGAGATTGACAATGTGTATTTGTTCCTCAGAGGTCTATCTATCATCCTTGAATGACCATCCAAGCTATGTTCCTTACATACCACAGACCATCCTAGTTTAGTAGATGGACCATCGTCTCAATCTCTCCGCGTGGGCTAGGCATATCAGCTCACAACAACGTCACAAAGGTTGCGCTTACCACACTGACATTTTTATTTGCAGACTTTGACTCTCTTTGGCCGCCTGTTACGCAATTTCATGGCCGGGTACCAGTTGGTACTGGTGCTAGGCACCGGCACCACAAGTATCGAAAAATCACGACAAACCATCTGCCACTCTATTATAGAGGACCCAGTACAGCGGGTCAGAGTGCCGCGTGGCTTGACAAACTTTACATAGCCATGCTTGGTACATGTATACACCTCGGCATCAGGGGTTATATATCGACGAAGCTCGTCTGCGTCTGACCTCCTTGTCCAATGACCTGATATGATGTTCTTCATATGGGTAGGAGAAAGCTAGTTATCAGGAAGTATGGGCATCTCTTTGCTGAAGGCCTGGATTCGGTCTATCAAAATGGCGCATAGATCGTGTCATTGATCCATCCGGTTCTCTGGCATATAATCGATCAAGCAGAGTATGTGGAACGCAGACTCTGTCAAGTGTGGTGAGAACACACAGCGTGCTCGCCTTAAAGTGAGATGAGTTCTATACTTGAAACTTGGGACGATTGTCGAGACTATGCTTCTCAGTCATGAGAGTAGACTTCTGTTATTTTGCAGCAGTGCTTGTGATATTACGAAATTGTTGCCACTCAAGCATCTTCTTGATGTGGCAAGATCCTGAGTTCTTACAGACCAAGTCTCCCTATTACCCCCTCGATCCGTACGATCGGTGTTCAGCTCGCATCTCTGTTCTGGTGATTCAGCTAGTTCTAATCAAGAATCTGGGCCATTCGGGCAATCGTCCGGCTGTCTGGTAGTCCAATCGGTAGTCTTCCTCAAGGATCTATAACGATCTCAGATAGCTTATTTAGCGGCCTTGGGTTGCCCTCATTGACCTGGTCATTGAGGTCGGCCGCCTCTGGAACTTTCTTATCTGGCTCTGACGCTCCGTCATAGTCGTCGACAACAACACACCGTCAGCCATAAGAGGCCCAGTATCAATATGATAGCCGTTGAAAAATACCAGGTACTGGCGGCGAAGATGATGGAAAATTGCCAGACGGCCTTCTGCTCTGGCCGGTAGTCGTAAAAAGCTTGGCTCGTCCTACTGGCACGAAAGCTAACCGTAATGTGACTATGCAGTTCGGCTAACACATCGCACTTCAAAATCATGCTCACGAGAAGATGAGCTTCAAACAGCATGGGCTTAATGTAGCTTGGGAATGCACGGCTGTCTAGTTGTCCCCTTGATACCAGGTAAAAGCTGATAGCGCACGTCTCTTTCACGTTTCTCACAGTCGTTGCATGCAGGACCGCTATAGGCCGCACAATATCTCGCCTCGAGTCGAATCACTAGACTGTTAATACTCGTCACGAAGCCTTTTCACCCTTGTAACGGAAGGACTGTTGCGCGAAACTTAGAGTATTGTTCATGTAGTACTACGAACTTGCTGTATGCCAGCATGATAGACACATGAGCCACGATATTCAAATTGTGCTCAGTGTCGATGCAGCTACTACTTCAGACCCTCTACACCTTCACGGATTGGAATGGACTCGAGAGATTTGATGTGCCCTCTTTCGAATCTAATTAGCCAGTGCAGGTTCGGCACACCAACAACAGTGGCGCTTTTCATCGGTATATCCTATCTTCTTCTGCCTCCAAGGACTGAGCGATGATATCGTAAGCTCCCAGCGCTGCATGATTGGTGAATCTATATGAGAAACCACAAATAGCGTCGAGCTTGTAGAAGGCCCTATACGATCACGTTACCTCAATCAAGCCACATAGTCGGCACTTACTCGTCATGAGAGAGCAGCTCTCCGCAAGGTAATTGGCGTCATTGCTCAGGGCAGTCGCTTTGGGCTCTGCCGGCTACAATGAGCAAGTAAAAGAATGACGAGTCTCATCACTACAGACAAGGCTACCGCCTTGCCTCATGCTTGACTCTCTCGATCGCTGCCAATCGCTTACATTTAGAAGAGCAAGGCCATGGCCCTCTATAGGTATTGAGAATTGTCCGGGGCGACATCCAAAGCCACGTCATCGGTCGTTGTTTCCCCACACCGCCGATTCTACCCGCGGGCATCGCACGATAGACACTCTGCATATTGTAATGGGCATACAAAGGGCTGTCATGCAGCCGCCCTTGCCGGTAGCTCCCTTGCCGTAGCGGGAGCAGCAAGCCACAGACCTCAAAGCAAACAAACGAACGCCGACGGTACTCAGCTATGAGCTGCTGGGTCGGGGCGTTGGGGCTGCACGCAGTCGGGTAACGGTCACGAGACATGGAAGGCCGCTGTGGTATGCAGGTAGCATATTGGAAGAAGCCATGGGCTCATCAAGACGTACTGCCGGTGTCGCTTTGATATCCAATGATACGAAGCAGCGGCTCCAGGGGGAGATACTATGTACGCAAAGTCAAGCATATGAGATGTGACAACAACAGTATCCCTTGCATCATGGTACAGTCTTGGACGGCATGCTTTCTTATTCGCGCTCTCCCGTGTTTAATTAAATTCTTGAGAGCGGCGATTAATCAATCGATGACTTCAGACGGAAAGTTTCCGACGTTCGATGGGTTCCGACATACTGGAGGTGGCCAAGGCCAGGTTGTGTGTGATGGCAAGGGGACACTTATTCCTGATCCCAGCACAAGCCGCTGCCAGGTCAAATTGAGACGTTTACTTGCAGAATCTGCCGGGGGTAATTGCAGACGACGGCCAGATCTACCATAAATTCCCCTACCGAAGCATCTCTGACTAACGCGACGACTTCGCGACTCCCCCTCCCGTACCAGCTACGGACCAAGTCGGCGTCCATAGCTGCAGGAGAGTCGCAAGCATACCCGGATGCGTTACCCAACACTCAGACGTGTACTAGTAGGGGTTAGTAAAGAAGTATGTGGTTCTTTCGCAAGGATAAGTCTCGCAGCTGCAAGATCGGCTCCGGCGGCGGCCGAAAAACTGGATATGATATCAGACACGCATTAGGAATGGAATGGCCCGCAGGCCTGCGCAGGCAAAGGCGAGGCCAGTTCATCTGTCCCCGGTAGAAACGGCGGTGGCCCCTTCAGAGAGACCCCTCCTCTGGATCTGCATACATATGCCAGATGGAGTAGCGATACATGGGATGTGTAGGGGGAACCAATAGCTGCGACGCATGCGGCGGCGTGGGTAACCGCTGGGAACCTGGGATGGTAGACGATGCAGCAGGAAATTATGAAGTCAACTAGCATGGTGCGTCGGTGTTTGTGGTGCTCGATTGCCGCATACTCATAGGCACACTGGCAAGACTGGGCGGAGGCCTAGGTTACAGACAGAGCTGTCAGCTGACGGCCACGAGGTCCGAGAGGCTCTGATCAGCCCTGATAGTCTCTCGAAACATCTAATCACGTCGTACGAGACGAGCATCGTCACAAAATGACGAACCAAAGAACTCGTTCCAACTTGGTCCGACTTTGGACGGCATTGCAACCTCAAATGGGAGGAGGATGCGACCAACTCGACCTAACCCCGGCAACCTGGGTTGAACGGTGACTCGAAAACAAATACATAGGTAGACTTGGCTTTCCCGCGGAAATACCTCTCAATGATCGTCATGGCATGCATGGTCATCTCGCATGCAGCGCAGACGACACGAGTATGTAGATGAACATGTTCCTAATTAGACATAGACGACAAATTTAGTGAAGGGTACTTCAGAGGGCCAGGTTCCAACCCAGCATGGTCTTCGTGTACTTAATGTACAGTTGCATGTAGTGCGCGACTCGCTGCATCGTATCGACCGCTGAGAGCCCGACAGAGGGTTGAAAGCCTGTGCGGTGCCAATAAGCCTGCGACCTACATAATGTATCCGGGGATCAGCATCGGATCGGCTCAGCCAACCCCACGGATAGCCCCGCACGATTCCCAGATCTTCAACGTTGTTGCCGGCTCTCGGTGTTCCTGACAGCCTGATGTGATGTGCACTGCTTCCAGACATCTGCATATGCTCGTTTGTCACGATAGCAGCCTGCGCGAAGGCTGTCGTATGACGGAAGAGGCTGGCTCGGGAAGCTGCCGGCTCCCGCCTTGATCTCACCACGGTCTTTCTCATCAGGGGTCGAAGCCAAAAGTGCCGGTTGAGTAAATAGTGAGCCGGGCAGGCGGGCTTTGAGAAAGAGCAATGATACCTAGGTAATAATAAGGAAAACAAAAAAGAAACGGTCGATGCTACACCTCGCTCCTTTAGGTACCCTGCAGATGCAAGAGCCCGGGGTTTGCCTCGGGCACACTAGATAGGCGACCTCGTGGGTAGATTGGTTTTGAGTTACATCAGAGTTTCCACTTGGCATTTCCGGGTGTACATAGGTGTAGGAACAGTGTCAAGCACATATCAAGGCAAGCTTGAGACACACTGCACGAGAGATATGGCTATGGTAGGAACGTGTGTGAACAGATGGCTTGGCTGCTTGGAAATGTAAGTACTTGTTCAGGATGTAGGTAGGGACGATATTCTGCCTCCTTTTTCCCGGCATGTTTGAGGTTAGGTACCTCGAGTAATGAAGTATGTGCATGTACCAGGTAGAGGTCGTATTTGATTGTCCCATTCATCCATGATACCTGAGATCCCAGTGGACTCATGCTTGGTTGATCAGGTACCTCCTCACCTTGCCAGACCTCGCCTCCATTCCTGCACCTACATGTACCTACACCTGCGTTGCCTTACCTCTGCCCAGTTGCCTGGCCCAGCGCCAGCGGAGAGACTCGCTCATCAGCCTTTCACTTGGAAGTCTCGGGAATGTCTGTCTTGCTCCATCGCACCTGAGGTTCTCTGTACACCCTAACAAGGTACCTAGGTACATACCTGCCTTACCTCCTACCAGTGGACCTCCACCACCTGAGATGTATGTAAGTACACGATTCAAGCAAAATGCAGAGGCAACCGCAGCCATACTGGATCGCCCTGTCCATCCATTGATGGCACCCTTCCTCCTCTTCCGTCACCTTGCAACAATACCCTCACTGACATAATCGGAATACCCACCATCACATCATTCCGAGCTAGTAGCTCAAGCTTACGGACCCTGCCCTGCCCCTCATCGTCTCTGAAGCTGTCTCCGCATAAAGACGCTAAACATCCCACCAAGGCTTCGTTGCGTCTTGACCCTCTCTTCCTTCCCTCCTCAACCCAATCCCAGACAACACCACATTCCTTTCTTACCAAAATACACAATCAAGTCAGAAGAAGCACTCGACATTCATCATGGGCGTTACCAAGACTACCATCAGCGAGGGCAGTGGTGCCACGCCCACCGTCGGCCAGAGCGTCACCATCGAGTACACCGGCTGGCTCAAGGACACCAGCCAGCCTAACAACAAGGGCAACCAGTAGGTGGACATCCCCGGCCTACAGCTACCCCTCCAAGGAAAATTTATACATCCCGTCTTGGGGCTTGCCATGCACACTGCCTTGCATCACAGCCCAGCACCGTGACGTCAAAGGCCCTCCTGCCCTGGAGCAGACTGCTTCAAAGCTCTACCCGCGATGATTGCTCGAATCCACGAATAACAATGACGATTGCTAATTGAATGATTCACTCACCAGGTTCGACTCTTCTGTTGGACGCGGAGACTTTGTCACCAAGATCGGTGTCGGCCAAGTCATCAAGGGTACCTAGAGCTTGACAGCTACTCCGCCGCACTCGCCATGCGCTAACCTGATGGACTTACAGGGTGGGATGAGGGTGTTACGCAGATGAAGGTTGGCGAGAAGGCCACCTTGGACATCTCTAGGTATGGAACACTCCGATATTATCTCCATTTCCTCAACCTGCAATGCGCTGACATCTGTTAATCACAGTGATTTCGGCTACGGTGCCCGGTAAGCTCCACGATCTCAAGCCTTGTCCCGTCCGCAACCCTTCGCTTGCCCTTAAATTGTGCCGTCCGAATTACTGCGACAATGACCAATTTATTGAGATCTCAATATATGGATAGTGGCGCTAACCGTCTCATGCTAGCGGCTTCACTGGCCACATTCCCCCCAACGCCGACCTGATCTTGTGAGTTTCCAACATCAATTTCCAGTTGCCGCGCTTGCTCTTCGAAATGCTGATACATAGCCAAAAGTGATGTTCACCTCAAGAAGGTCCAGTAAGGGCCTCCCTTCGAAGCACGTGAATAGACATGATGAGGTTGGACTCAGCGATGGGTTGGTGCAGAATAGACCGTCTGCTACTGCGCAGGGTGAACTTCGACATGCGACATACTTAGGGTAGTTCGTGTTTGCGAGGCACCAATCAAACTCATTTTCGCCGACGCTGTTACTCGCTTACCGTCTTGTGTCTGTGATACTATACTACAAACCCGATCTGCCCAGGTAGATCGCAAAACCATAGGGCTGGGCCTTTCGACCGCTAGGTTCGAAGGATTTGCTCCCGCTGACGGGACAATGATACAATTTCTCGTAGGGCAGTTATGTCGTATCAAGTGTTCCATACTTCCAAGGATACTCCAGCAAAATAGCCTAGCTGCCGAATCTTGGTTCAACAATGATTGATGAGATCCAGATCCAAGTCACATGTCGGTTTTCCCGGGCTGTGACAGCAAGCCAAATCGTCCCGGCTCGAGCTGCTCCTTGCACGGGTTTCAAGTCACACTGCATCGCTGCCCGAACCATAGCCCCGGTTCCCACCCGCGTGGTTTACTTTCTCGCCCGCTGTTCATCTCGAAAGACGTGGATCCATGGGGCAAGGTAGCCGTCTCGCTTAGATGGGTTCCGTCCTCCTCGGATGTGACGAGAGATCTATGTCAGGCAGGTGCTCGTCGACTTCAAAGATAGAAAAGATAGGTAGGTGGGCGGACATATACGATAACGAAGGTGATACGACTTTGACTTGCCTGGACTAAACAAATGTTGATTGGGGACTTTGCTTGCCGAGGCATGCACGTGTAGGTAGGTCAAGTTTGGTATCAGACATTTCGGATCCGTCGTGGATTTTCTTCTCTCTGTCCCCTTTCGCCGCTTATTTCCTCGGCATCCTCACCCAGATCTGAATCTGGATGTGTGCAAAGTCTGAGATCTTGCCGTCCGGTTCTTTTGTATGCAGCGCGCGGGGACCCAATATCTGAGATTTGAGATCTGGGTCCCAGGCGGGACTCATGCGATCGCCCGCGAGGGGATGTCGTGTTCCCGGCTCGCTTGTGTCGCTGGCCGTGAGCATTGAGCGTCGCGGGTGCGCTACTGGACGTTGTGCTTTTCTTGGCTGATTAAGATCTCGCATTTGGTTTTTCCACCCACTGCTTTCTTCCTTTTACGCGCCGATGGGGAACGAGAGACTTTAGGGACTTGAGACAGAAGGTGTTAGTGGAAGTGAGGGGAGAAAGTTGGTCTATGGATGGTCTGAATGCTCTTTTCTTGTTGTGCTTGTGCTTGACTTGCGACAGTGTGTCTCGGGGGTCTCGGGGCTTATCCGTCCCGAGTCTTTTCACTTCACGAAAGGCTGGTAAATAAAAAACTGTGAAAAGATTGTAATGGATATGGGTCTATTGTATGCTCTTCCGTGTGTTTGGGGTAAATACGGCTGATGAAGGGGCTAGGCAAGTTCCTTGACGGGAATTGGTAACTTTCCTCACGCGATATACTTGATGACTGGGCGATTGAAAACCCCTACACCATCTCTGGTTTTCCTGGTATGAAGTACTCTTCGCTACTTCTAGACGGGTAGACGTAGTCCGCAATGGCTAGTGATAGGTTCCAGTGCTGCATCAGATGTCTCTTTGAGGTGAGATTATTATGTCGGTGGCACCTCCAAATCGCACATACTCGCGATTATGTACCGTATTCCTGTAATACTCTGAGCCCGAAGTTGATATCTTTCTTGACTTGCTGTAGACTCACTAAGCCCTATTGCGTTGCCTGGCACAATCATGAATCTCTGGGCTGTAGATACTCGATGACTTCGAGTAATAGCATATGTCTAGGATGATAAGCCGGAGATGTCATCTTCGCAATAAGAGGGCCCTGCCCGAGGACTCTTGCCAACGAAGTCCTCGTGCCGTCTTCTCGACAGCGTTGAGTCTGAGACAAAATAGTTCGAATACCATGAAAGGACAACGCTCTTTAGCGTTTCTTCATCAGACTACCTAGGCTTGACTATTGAATTTTGACTCTGCATGAAGTCCGTTACTCATATGAGCAACAACGAGGGCGATAGCCATATTTGTTTCTGGTCCATTTCTTCTGAATTCTTAAGCAGCAAGCCGAACGGGACCTTCTTTGCCCGTTTTCAGTGGTCACAGAAATTGTCGCGGATTATTGATGGGCAGGATGGAATGGCTGTGAACAGAGTCAGGCTGTGCTCCATACCTATCTAATTTCGTAGGTAGAGACTAATACCAATAAGTTGAATATATCGAAAGGAAACGACCGTTGTAATTGTCGGCATTATTCGGACCAACTAATCAAGAGTGCTGTCGTCCTGAGAAGTTACGTTGTGTGATAAAATGTCGTCGACTTAATGATGGCCGCCCTATTCACTTAGACGCTTCGTAGGTGCGGCGACGTCCAGTGCTATTTAGTTACTGCTGGAGTTTCGGCCTTAGGCCTGCTTAGGCCTGTTTAGGGCACCCCTATAGCTCGACAAACCTCTGCGAAATATAACCGAATACTGCGGATTCCCAACACGGACAAGCCAATACCAGCAACTCATGATTCATCCCAATGACTCGCTAAGGCTATTTGTGACTTGCTGGCAGAACTGGCATAACCGACGTAAAGTCAACGTGTGGTTCGGGCGATGCTTCGTAGCTTCGCAGGCGTTTCGCTTGCTTAATTGACCCCAGCCAGCTCATTTGTTAGCAAAGCACAGTGAACGCGGTTAGCCAGCTCCTAAATAAATCATTTACTTTTCATCGGGACAGCAGTAGCTGCCTCTCTAGATATCAAAAGCAATAAGCACGATATCTACAGCCAACTGCAATCACGGTTCAAAATAACAATGGATGTTTCAAGAAAAAATATTGCAAAAACGAAGGGCTCAACCGGGATTTGAACCCGGGACCTCACACAGTTCCAATGAATTGGAGGGGGCTACCCGAAGCGTGAATCATACGACTAGACCATTGAGCCTGGGTTGTTTTACCACTTGCTCGAAGCAGAGCGGATGGTGGGATAACTGCGACAATCCTTATCTGTAATAAGATCATTAAAAACATGTAGTGGGGCTGGTAGGGCTTAGTCGATCCAATCAGTCTCATGTTTGCTGGGCAGAGTTTCGTGGCTCGTTCAGCAGATTTGCTCACGCCCTTCTCAGCTGATCCCTAGATTACCATTTCGTGCAACCCCCTCCAATCCATTGGAAATGTGCGACCTCCCGATTTGGTAAATCCCGGTTGAGCCTTTGGTTTTTGCAAATTTCTAATGACTCTTTGGGCTGGAACCCAGAAATCGCTTATTTTGAGATGCTACGAAACCCCGTGCCCATCAAGTGTTGTTGGGGTGTACATATGTGTAGCCTGGAAGTAGCTGGACTGTTACCTAAGCGTAGAATATCAGCTCAGCCATGTAGTCCCATGAAGCATGACGACTGGCAATCAAAGTGACGATAAGGTAATAAGCAAAGGCAGTCGTCTGCAATCATTGGCCGAAAGGAAGGATTTCCTAACCCTAGATCATTGGCAAGCAGAGTAAACGAGCCTTAGGCAATCATCAATATAGAGGACACAGCTTGTATTAATCAAAAACTGATCATGCTCTCCACGGAGCAGCATCAGTGACAGTCTCGAGTGGTTCTGTGCGCTTACGAAGGGTAGTAGGTACTTAGAGGAACTGGACAGTGAGCTTGATGCCGGTAAACGCCTAGAATTGAGATGTTCGAGACTGATCTGCGGTCTCCTGGTTTGTGGCGTAGGGGAGGAATGTATTGTAGAACCATGGAATCAGGCTTCAGTTGGTGCTGAGTATGTCAAAATTTCCGTACACTATACCCCTATCTCAGACCTTGGAGGGCCTTTTTTTTACAACGGAGTGGCCTCGCAATGGGCATAAGTCGCAGGGAACTTGGTCGGAGGCATTTTTAAGTTTGATCATGCCGTCGACTCGTTGAATACAGCTACAAGTTGCCAAGACAGGGGAAGTGGTATGCCTGCCTACAAAACAACATCTTCACAGCCTGAACGGGACCGCTGCCTTCAAGAACGCCGTATCCTCAGATTATTTCAAAGTGAGTCTCAAGCCTCAATACGATGTCGGTCCAACGTCAATCTGATAGTGAGCCGTCTCCCTACTCTGCCTGTTTATATCACCCGTACAATCGCTGATAGATAGCCGAGCTCATTGTTTGCTTGGAAACACCTCGATGAATTCTCCATACGCTACTGATCTTGGGCACATTCATCGACACTCACTACCGACCGGTTGAAACTTATCTTTCACCATTCAACGTCCAGGATGGCTACCGCATGATCTCGTAGACGGGGACTCAACGCCAAGTACAAATTGACGAGCCAGTATGTTGATGGCTTCATGGTGACCGCGAGGAACTGCGGTCCCATGCTTAGAAATCGAGGTATGCCATAAAGAACTTGGGGAATCGAATTAGCGATCAATGCAAGAATACCAGCAACAGTCAAGGCACATTATTTCCAAGGGCCAGTCAATGTGGAAATATCACAGCTCGCGAACCCTGTTTGTTGGCAGGCATCGAAACATCATCATTGTCTCGAGTACTTGAGAAAAACACACTGTGGACAATATCTACGGTCGCCTATGCCCTCTCGGGAAGATTTGTCCAAATGTAGGCAGATGTCATTTGCTTTTGACGTTCCAAAGGTGTCGCCTAGAAGGTTTATCAAGAGACTGGAGCGCCAGAGAACAATAGGCAGAAAGACCCAGTCTAATTACCTTGTTACGCTTCCACCGCTCAAGATTTACATCACATAGATGGAAGACTGTCTCCTTCCGTGGGCCATACATAGACAGGGAAAGCGATCTATACGACGGTCAAATTGCTCTTGAAAACTCTGCTGACGGGCTGGCTCATCTGGCTATCTAGACACAAGTTTCTTGCTAAGGGGGGTGCTGACACCAGACAGAAGATACCCACGATATACAGTGAGATTGGCATCCGTTATGATCAGACATCTGGGTTTAAAGTTCTCAAGCACATCATCCTTCATCAAGTCCTGTTCGTTGGTATAGGCTGTCCTGCCCAGTTCACCGAATACACCAGGCTGAGTGTTGCAATGCATTTCAAGACGACAACAATTGGGAAATTTGCTCAAGTAGAGCTGAGTTTCATTCAGAGTATGATGAGACACTTCCGATCTCGCCCCGTGCCAATTTCCTAGATGTTGCCGGTGCACGGGACTGGACATGATGAAGCTGAACAACGGCGGAGCTCGATGCATCGTAATATGGAAGCAAACCTGTGCGTGAGAGCAGTTTCATCTGACCTGCAAGCCAAAGCAACGAGCACAGCAGCATCGCAGCGGTATTGTAGATTTTGATTCGAGGTGATGGACAGCGCGACAGCACGGCACGGGAGAACGTGAGGCGTTTTTACGGACGCTTTCAGTTGGCCGACTATGCAGTATTCGGAACGAGACATTTTCATTTGGTCATTTACCTCAACCCTTTCATATAACCATCTTCAATGGAGACGTGTTTCTGCCAGCGCCTCTTCCCCTGACTAGCCCCAGACGCCTCCCGAGACCTGCAGTCTAGGGCTGAACACGTTACAGCGAAACACCACGATATCATGAACCGGCAAAATCACGAACAAGCGACCATGCCCGAAGTCAAAAAGCACCGCCAAAGTTCTAAAACAGTGCTACCAGAAAAACAAAAGAGAAACTTCGCATGCTCTTCAGCCTCGGCAGCGCAATCCACCGCGCGCAAAGATGAGACAAGCGCATCAGGAACAAGCACGGGCAAGCTCAGCCTCCGGCTAGCCGCCCGTCCGCCGTGATCACATCATCCGTCCACAACGACGCTTTGATAAGCTGTCTGCCCAAAACATCTCAATCCGAAGGACACCCGCTCGCGGGACGGTAACAAGAAAAAAAAAGGGAACAAAACATATCAAAGGACGGTAGCCGGAGGCGAAAGAAGAGTCCGATATGCGAGAGGGCGACTCCACGGATCGGCAACGAACCCGCCGTCGCGTTTGATCGCCAGCCGTCCGCCCAGTCAGCGCTTTCGTCAACCTCTGACGTTGACATCGTCATCTGCCAATGGAACGATCCCCATGAATGGCAGATCATCCCATATCCAAGCACGGGGATCTATCACGCAAGAAAAAGCGAGGAATATGATCGCTGGTAAGACCGCGCTGCCCCTCCCCCCGGGTTTAACGTTGATCGACCTGAGGCCTCGTGACTATCGACCCTTCATGCCGTGCGTGCATCCTGTACGTGTAGTCATAGCCGAAGCGAGTCATAACGGCAATCTTCTAGAAAGAAAAAACCTTGCCTGGGCTATATCTCCATCTGCTTAGGTATCTGTCCATTAGTTTTCCTGCCGCTGCCCGGTTGTATGGTCCCTTATTAATATCTGTGAAACGGTTTCACGCCAAGGGGCCACTCACGGCGCGGGGCAGTAGGCGCGGAGGACCCATGGCAAATGCCATGCCATGCCATGCCCAGCAACATGTTCGATTGGCCCTGAGTGTCGTCAGTGTTTTCATGCGCGACCAGGTCCTCGCTCCCTCTTCGGGATTTCATCCGTCTGATCGAGGAGTCTAGAGTATCTCCGCGTCAGACGCCGGATCTCGTGGCTGGACAGCCATAGAAGAGTCAGCTAAGACCCTCGCGGCTCGGGAAAGATGAGAAAGCATTTGTCATAGACTCGCCGACGCCCAGAGCATATTTCTCGAACGTAAGGGAGTGGGTGACTGGAGATGGAGAGGAAGGGTACGAGAGATCGGATAATCTATCGGGCAGCGGGGATGGCAGCGGCGAGAAAATCACCAACGACTTCAGCCGAGTGGTCGTCCAATCTTTTGGAGCCAAGTCGTGCGACGAAGACAAATCTGAACCTATCGGGTGCGGCGCGATTAGAGTAGGAGGCGAATGGCGTACGCAAAGAGCAGGCTCTGACATGAACTGAGATGAACACAGTTAATCTATCGACTGGTCTGATTCAACCTTGACGCGGTCACGTTGCTACAGCTCAATATCTAGCTTGGAGGGTCTGGCCACTGCATGCTGGCGCATGGTTTCATTAAGATGACCTTTTATGGAACTCTGGTCAATGTGCCGAAGTCGCCGTCTTTGTCACTGGTGTATTGCCTTCACCGTGAAATTTCTATATTGTTTGTAAGGTCCAAATACGTTGGAGTCGCAGTTGTCTCAAATTGCAAGAAACAATCGGCTGGCGGCTAGCTCGTCACCTCCTGATTCAATAATGCGTTGCGGTCGGGACTTTCATCTCTACTGCAGTTCCCGACCTCCTCGGTGCTGACGTTGGCAGTAAGTTTGAGCGTACGTACCTAGGGAGGTAAATGGACTGCGTGATACGCGATGCATGGGATGACATTGTTGATGCAGTCTGCACCTCTCGGGTTGACCGGGTGGACAAAGTCCTTACGGAGGTCTTGGAAAGGGAGCTGCGTAGGCATACTCTAGGATGCAATCCAATATCCGCTTGGTCGAAATGGACAGTCATAGTTCACGAAGATGGGTTCCCAAAGATTATGGTTGACTGTGCTCAGTCCTTCCTAGCCGTGAGGTGTGAACCCGAGATAGCGGGCGCCGGGACATGTGGGGATGGCCATCCCCTCTAAACGGGCAATTGTGCCAATAGTGTCATGTAGGCGCAATATGCACCCTTCCCATCACCAACAGCTGCATGCACATAGAATGTTGCGTGTATTCAAGATGTCCATGTTGGCCTTCGTACTCGTCTTTGTCGCGTGGTTCTCTTTGCCGAAATTGGTAGAGGCGGCTCGCCTTAGCTAAAGTGAGCTGCAGAGTGCGGCGCGAGCAAGTCGCCTACCAATACGACGGCAACCCAAATACGAGAAAGCTGTTGACAGAAAAGGCAATTACAGGGGGCCCTGACTATCCCATCACGGATGGGTTGGAAGCTTGGTGGACACACGAGCTTCAGGTAGGTTCAGGTTCAGAAGC